AATCATTAGATCATCATCAACCACTGATGCATTATTTCTGAAAAGCAACATAAGCTAGTAACTGTATAGCATCCTTAATTAATAAAGGTTTACTATCTAAGGTGGAAAGCACAAACGTTAACATGCATTGTCCCCTAACGTCTCTCTATTTATATGGTCTCTTGGTAAAACGTTTGTTTCATCGTAACATTATGGATTGTTCCAAGTTAGACGACAGCGAGGTGAGAGTGGATCATGTTCGTATTCCAATCCACAGGTTTAGACCCCGAAGACTTATCCTTGCACCAAGGGTTAGGCCCAAGAAAACCTCAAGGTTAGTCTCACTACACTCACATACTATAGCCATTTTCTCTTTTACGCTTTAGACATAGCAAAGAAAATTAACCCATCTTACTCCATATAAACTTTACTATATAATTTTTGTAGCTTTTATATTATATTTTTTAACTATGATTTGTCCTATATCTTCATCTTATTTTACTAACGTATAAGTATAAACAAAAAATCTCACATTAAATAAAGATAAATATGTTGAATAACATGTAAGTAATAAAAATTCATGAGTTAAATACCTTAAGTTTTAAGTTAAGATCAATGTAATGTTAAATTTACTTAAATAATTTGTTTATGATTTATTAGTTGAAATCTCTTTGATCTTTAATTGTTGGTGATACATGAAAATTAATAAAATATATACTAAATATCGTCGTTTTGTTAACATTTTTTAGTTAAAAAAAATGTCATTATGTGTTTGGATATGAATTCAAAAGAATTTTTGAAAGTTTTTTTTCTTATTGATAGATTCTAAGATTTTTTTCTTCTTTGTACTATTTTTGACTTTTTGTAGCACATCAACTACGAAGAAGGATGAAAGGCTTGTTATTGCTACATTCCCTTGTCATGAAGTGTTGATGTTTGTGAATCAACAACTCCTTGGAGCCATGCAAGTGGAGTATCAAAACAAGACCAAATCGCCCTTTGAGACACACCCAATTCACATGTGGACTTTCTTAACTTGCATATGCTTCTACAGTGTGGTTCTTGCTTTCAAAACACACCTAAAAGATCGCAGTGGCAACTTCACTTTGATCTTCAAACACCTTCTTCTTGTCTCGGGATCACTTTCCTCAGCCTCACTCTTGTGCATCTTCCAATGGCGCCACCAAATTTGGTTTCTCTATGTCATAATAGGGATATATGTACCACTAATGCTGGCTGGTCTCTTGCTCAAAAAACAAGTGTTGAATAATGTTGTAGGAGCTACAATCACTTCAGCTTTCAAACTTAAGCAAAAACTTAAGTTGTTTTGTGGATGCTTACGGCAGTGACGCTACTCGATAATTGTTGGTCCAAAAATGTAGGATTCATGAAATCATGTGGATAATTGTTTGATGCCTATGACACATGATTTAAAAATAGTATTATACGTTAAGAATCGGTTATAAATAAAAGTTCTCGTTAATTTGTCCTTGTTTACTGTTTCGTTCAAGTTATTCTATAATTATTGTGTTCGAGCAACTTTAAAAATTTAATGAATTTGAAATTTTTAGAATTTAAATTATTTTGATTTTAATTTTTTTTATCATCTTTTAAATTTTACATTTGTAGATTGGATAGAACAATTTTATTTTCACCATGAATAAAATAAATTTTAAAAAAACGCACATATATATATAAAGATTAAATTTTATAAAATTAAATATAAGCTAATTTTAAATATTTAATCATTAAAAAAATTATTGTTATTTTTATGTTGACTTTGAAAGAGATTTGAAATTTTCAAAATATTGAATTATTCCATTAAAATCTTCCATTCAAACATGCCCTAGTAATGGTATTTATTAAATAGACCATGTTATGAATACACTTTTTCCATGCCACAATGAGCACCGCTTTTTAATATTTGAAAAATATTTTAAAATGAATGATATTTTTATTTTTCAATGTAATATTAATTATTTTATTTTTCTAATTTATCCATTAATAAATTATTCAATTATCATAATCAAAATAATACATTTATTAAGAGGATATAATAAATTATTTTAGTAAAATTGTATAAAAAGTGATACACTTATTGTCCTTAATATTTGTGTCAAATTTTTATATTGAAATTATTAATAAGATGAAAGGGGTGGCTTTCACTTAATTTATGTATGCATGTAGCTTTCTATATATCACATCTATTCTTTATAAGCAATATACAAAACACACTTATTTTTATATTTTTAATTATAAGTAAATTTTAATAAATTATCTCTACTTTAATGCATAACCTTTTAGCTGCCTTACTCTTGATTTTTGAAATTTATAACAAGGATAACATAGAAAAAATATTATGAAATTAATAAAATTTAATGCAAACAACTAATTTCTTTAATATGTGTGGAATATATATATATATAATAGAGAACAAAGGGAATACTCTCTTTCTCTTCCATCTTGTATGATGTTTTAAAATATTATTAATGTATTCTTTAATTAATGTGTCTTTTTTTTTTTTTAATATAGTCATTTTATTAGTGAGAATTCAAAAGTTTTAAAGATATATAAAGAATGTTACACATAAAATGATTATGAAAGAAGACATGTTAATTATATTTGTTAAATTTTGTGTTAAAATCTTAAATTTTTAAATAAAATACTACGGAAGGAGAATGAAAAATAGGGTTCTATGTATGTTGTCGGTCATGAGCTTTTTGCTCCACCAGGTAAGTTAGAAGCGACGACAGCAGCCTTCAAAGATCTTGTTTGTAATATCTATCTCTAATATATCTGTCCTTTTAACCAAATATAAAAGTAATTTTATTAATTAAGGGGTTCAAATTAAAATAGAATATGCTTTATGAGTACTTATGTGATCATCAGTAAAAAAAAATAAAAGAAAAAGTTGACACATTGGTTCCACCATTCCGTAATAATAACGACAACACACTATTTGTTGTCCAATAAAAGTAAATGCGGGATTTTAACTAGTAATATATAGTAATAATGAAATATTCTAATGAAGTCTTTTCTTTATGAATATTAATTGATCAGTAACTTTTTTTTATTTTGCAAGTCAAAGTTATTCATGAGAATACAAAGCTACCCTAATTCATACATAGTAATGAGATAATTAGAAACTCTTTAAATTAATAATGTCAGGCCAGAGAAATTTATTAGTATAGAGAGTTATTAATTTATCGATAAATTAATAATTATTAATTTAAAGAGTTTTTAAGTAATTATACTGTACATACCAAATAAAAAGGCAAATTAATTTATACCTCTTAGAATTACGTTGCAGCGAATCTTGGGACTCAATGTAAATTAGTAACTTTTGAAGTACATATGCATTGAAAATCAATACGTAATGACTTTTGAAGTACATATGCATTGGAAATCAATAATGACTTTTGAAGTACAGTAAATGTAAACAAGAGGAACAAATGTGTTCAATGTATTCTTAAGCAAGTTTGGCAGCGAAGATGATACAGTGTCTTTGGAGCTTATTACGCGAAAGGAAGCACTTATGGCGTCGAACACTCTTCACAACTTTATGATACAATACAAAAATACAACACCTGAGCTATTGGATGCAATAAGAAAAGTTAGAGATGAGCTCCAAATAGACTTGAACTTTAAAGGAAAACAGACAACTATTGAATCATATTTCAATAGAGTGTAATATATTTTTTCAGTTTCTATGAATTAATAATTTATGATTTTCTTGGGACCAAAAATTATAAAAGGATCTCTCGAAAAATTATTATCTTATTATTTTATTGAGTTTTTCAATTTTTTACATTGGTTCAAGTCGGGATCAGACAAATTTATTATTTTAGATAGTTTATTAATTTACCGAGTATTAATTTAAAGAGTTTCTATTGTAAGTTCAAATCTAAAAATAGTGATTGACATAATCTATAGATCATCATCAACTACTGATGCATTATTTCTGAAAAGCAACATTCGACTTTATTTTAATGAAAGTTGGCAACTCTATCATCACTTAATAAAAGGGATTAAAAAGTTGATGAAGGATTAAGAGTTGACAAAATTTAAAAGAGACTAAAAATGAATTCCTTAAAAAATTAAGGGGTTAAAATCTTATTCAACCTATTTTTTTCTTGTATAAATCAGATAAAAAGGACCATTAATGACGAGGGTGTAGAGACTAGGTGCATGTTTGTGTTGCAGTCGAAATTGTTGTGGTTATCATTCTAATACTTTTTTTAATGCGTAAGTAAAGATTAAGATCCTTTTGTAAACATATTTTTGAGATTCTTGAACGATGATCAAAGCATTACATAACATAAAAATAATGAAAAGTAGTCATGAAATGTTGGTTCATATTTATTTATCATTATTAAGAAATCATGCATTGACTAAAATATACTACATTTTTCAATTTCTCAAATAAGGGGACGGGATTTTCAAAAGTAGAAGAAAATATGATGAATATCACTTATTAAAAGCATGTGTTTATTGTTAAATTATTCTAAGTGTTAGAATGACGTACAAAAAATGACAAAAAGTATGAGTATGCATGTAAAGATGTTTCTTAGCTATAGGTTCATAAAGAATGACAAAATTTAGAGAATATAAAATTCGTCTATACATAAATTAGAAAAACATGTTTTAGAAAATAAAATATAAAAAAAATTATAAATTAATTTATATATAATTTTTGGAGAAGATTATTTCTTTGCTTTTTTCTTTTCCTAAAAGTGCTTTACAACAAATTTATTCAATCAGACAATAAATAACCTTCATTATTATATTTTTTATTTAATAAAAAGTATAAATTATTATACCGAATTAGCTTCTATAATAATAAAATAGTACTTTTGATCATAATTTCACATCAAAAGCAGTGATCTAATTCTTTAGTCTCTCATTAAGAATAACGTTCATTATTATATAACTTTAGAAATAAATCTACTTCATGACATTATTTTAAGACTACCCTTCTAAAAAATAATTAGCTTGATTAAAACATTTGAAGAAATCTACCAGCTTCAATAAGAATATATTTCCTCTAGGAATTCCTTTTCATTCTAATATATATATCAATGCAGTAAAGTTAGGAAAAGCTGTTAACATATTTATATATGCATTCTTTTGGCATACAAAAGCTTTTGTATCATAATAAAATGAGTTGTTTTTCCCTTTTTGTTGCTCTAGCATCAGCAAAACGTTGCAACACCAAAAGATTATCTAGCCTCTGCAAGACATCCCTCATTGTTGGACGGTTTGATGGAAAAAATTCTATGCACTGCACTGCCAGAAGAGTCATCTCAACACCATCTTCTGCACAGTAACACCAATCTTTCTGCAGATTTTCGTGGACTAGAGAACAATTGGGCTTGTATTCCTTCTTGGCCCAAATGTGTAACACACTGTCCAAGTTTAAGTTTGCATGTTCTCTCTTCTCAATGAATGAAACTCTTTTGGTTACTAGTTCAAGCAAAACAATGCCAAATGAAAACACTTCACAGCTTCTATCCCATTCACCACCTGCCATTTTGTAAATACAAACTTAGGCTTCAATATGTATGCATTACAAACCGGATCAAGGGTTTTCTTCTTCCCCAAACAATTAGAATATTATACGACACATCAAAGATTTTCACATGACAGGACTAGAAATCTTGGTTTTAGCACTAATGAAACATATTCAATTCCTAAACATAGAATATGTTGCAAAAATTATGTTTTGTGAGTGTAAATTAATTTTTAATTATCAGTTTTAAAATATTATATAAATTATGTCCATAAAAAAAATCAAGACAAAACACAGTGATATATCTTTTTGTTTCTTCATATTTTGCACACGTATCGTATCTGAGTCATGATTGGACATTAAATGTGAACACTTCCTTTAGCAAATATTCAAACCTTAGTTGATTGTGTTCTGGAAAACTGGTCTCTTCCACTAATTTACACAGAGTTACTTCCATATTTTTTAATATTATTTTCCAAAATTAGAATTTCACTGCACTATTTTATACCAACCTTTATTAAAGAAAACTCTAATTTCTATTGAAGAATACTACCAAATAGACTTAAAAATATTGCACATAAATGTTTTTAATAAATTAGTAATAACTCATTTTAGAGTATTATAGCAGCATAACAAATTGAAAGGAAACATTTTTTATGCATATAAAAAAATTACCCCTTAGAGAAAAGTAAGGATCGATGTAGCCAGTTGACATTGTTAATTGTTCTTTTAGCATTTTCACTTCGCTAAACAACAGCAAATCAAATAATTTTGGCTTGTAATCCTGCACCAGAAATGAGTGTTCATGTTGAGTGCCAAAACAGAGAAAGGGCAAATGAAAAAGGAAACATGGATGTATGAAATTTTCAGAAGCTCCGAAGAAGATCATTTCCACAATAACCAATGTGCTAACCTTGTCTAGAAGTATATGAGATGCACTGAAATTCAACACCATATTTTGCTTCTCCTGGTCATGAATGAATTTCAGAAACTTTGCAAGTTCATGAATTACATTGATTCTCTGAAGCCAATTCAGCTTATCTACCTCCGAAAAAAAAAATATATCAGAACATCAAAGTAAATCAATCATTTATCTCGTTTCCTTTTACATCTCAAGAATTCAAGGACCAAAATTAATTGTTGAAATGATGACCCCACAACTTGATTGCTGATAAATTCTCATGTACTAATATAGATTAATACCTAAACATGTCATTCAATAGCATAAAAAGGCCAACAACCCATTAGTGATTGTTTCAATTTCTTCTCCAATTAAAACAAGGTTTGAAATTTTCCCTCAACCGTTGACATTAGAAGTGAATAAACATCAAATCTTGTAGTAAATCAATACCTTTCATTATCAAGTTATCCAAAGTATCAAGTGGATTGAGATCATACACAAGTCCCTTTACATCTCTCTCCAAAGTATAACCGATCAACGTCACCAAATTGGGGTAACCTTTCAATGTTGGATTTGTCCAAAATTTGACTTCCTCCTGCAAAACAGAACCATTGAACTTCCACAATCATATCGGAAACATGATAAGAAAGAAGTTTATACAAGAGTGAAAGATATAGAGAGAGAGAGAGAACTTGCTTTGAAAATCAAATACTCATCATTATATTTGGAACTTATCTGTTCCATTCTTTCACCGTCCCATATCTTCACTAATACATGTTGACCTTCAAGGTAGCCTCTAAACCATCTACCAAACTGTGTCAAGCCAATGAGATTGTTCTGACTGAAATTGTTGGTGCATGCTTCCAATTTCTTGGATGAAATCTCAAGAAGGTTTGTTGGGTACATCTTATCAAAGTCATAACAAAGTGATATATGGGACCACATTTATATCTAGGGAACTTGGTGTCACGTTGTCAATGTCAACCTTTCTGCTCTAATAAATTTCCTTCCCTTTGACTTCGTCACAAGAAAAGATATTTGAGCTTTAACTTTTGTTCCTTAAAATAGGAAATTCCCCTGTACTTTGAGGATCCTTGCGTAAGTAAAACTCAATCCGTAAGATATAAGACTATTTTAACAAATTGGCATATAAGAAAATTAGTTAATTTAGTAAATAAGATTAAATTTGTTAATAATTTGTGTATGTCAATATTTTCTAATTTCCATGTCCCTAGTTGATAAGTATATCTTAAATACGAAATTTATAGAATTGAATATCTATAAGTAATTTGATAATAATTTGATAATTGGTGAATCATTTAGTACAATAAAAATTATTATGATAAATTCTGATATGATTTAAATTTAATTTAATATTACAAAACTGTCTTAGGAAACATCACTTCTTATTTATATGTTCTAATTTGATCACATTATTAATCTTTAACAAGAAATATCGTGGCCATAAAAATAGAAAGAGTAGTCTTACCATATCGAATAACCAAGGAAATCGTACAATAGTGGCCCTCTATCCTATCAATATCTCTTGTATTCTACTAAGATTTATAAGACTCATTCCACCATTCATCCACTTACTTTTATGATGCCACTTGAGAAAGAGATTGGTTTCAATTTCCTCTTATTCCTATTCGGAAGACGTCATAAAAAAGTTCATGAAGATAAAGGATCTATATATATATATTCTAAATTTCTAGTCAATGTTGTGGTTGGTAATTTCTGTTTTTTTTTTTAGTGCTAGATATTTCTCAAGAGTCATGGTTCAGAATCGGGGATTCATCCATCACATGTTCGTATACCATAATTGGCGACACACAATGCTTTTTGTTGTGGATGCTTACAATATTTTACGTAAGAGCACAATCCACAAAAAAGATAAAAGAGGCAAAGTTGTGGGTTTAAAGAATGTATGAGGATAAACAATATGGGTTGATGCTCTTTCTTTGTCTCAGCATAAATGCAAAGAATGCGATATAGAACCTCACAGGTGATAACTAATGTATGTTGAAGAGTACACACTACAAGTATAGTTAAGAGGACAAAACTTTCATTATGTTTTAATTTTTTATTTAGAAGACTCGGGAAGCTTAAAGAGAACTTCACGGCTTAAGAACCAGAATAAATAAAAATAAAAAAAAATTCAAAAAAAAATTAAAAAAAAACTATTTACCAAAATAAATTATTTTGGACACGTAGGAGCGAGAAAAGTGTGAAAGCGTCAAGCAATTTGACGTTTTTAGTACACTATGCATGGGACGAAAATGTAAACACTGAAGGCGTCAGACTGGGTGACGTTTTGGTACTGTTCATATACAAAAAACGTCAACAGTGTTGACGTTTTCTGTATAAAGTGAAAATAAAAAAATAAAATAGAAAAACTGACGGGCTGGGGCTTCAAAACACAACCAGAACGGCCCGTTCTGAAACAAGAACGAGCCGTTCCGATTCACTTTTCGTGTGTTTCATCTGGATCTGGAACGACCCGTTCCAGATGCAAATGCAACACAAAAGTAGTGAATCAGAACGGCCCGTTCTGGTTTCAGAACGGGCCGTTCCAGGTTTTTCTGCATTAAAAAATTATAATTTTTTTTTAACATAAATTGTGCTTTTGATTTTTTTATGATATTCAATTTATGATTTTTGTTTCTCAATTTTTAGTTATTCAATTTTAGTCTCTCAATTTCATTTTTATGAATAGGAATATTTAACGTGGCTACATACACAAGACAGGATTCGAATCCCTGACCTTGCTTAAGGTGGATCAACCCCTACCACTGAACCATACGCTTAAAGTTTAATTTTAATTTTATTAATAAATATTATCTATTAACTATTAAAATTATAACATTGATTATGAATTTATATATTAAGTAGATGATTAGATAATTAATATTTACTTCAATTATTATATCATTTATTAGTGAGATAAAAATTGTAAAGTTTATAGAATTAGAGTAAATTTATAAAATTATAAGTCAGGGAAACAAAATCGCAGATTAAATATTATAGGGATAAAAAATAAAATTTATCTTTGATTTTAATATTTAATTTAAGAAAAAAAGTTAAAAATGAAACGATAGTATAATATTTTTGATAACGTGACAATTAATGAGATGAATTTTTTTAATAACGTGGCATTTTTATGACAAAACACTAGACATGGTAATAGGCAGAACAAAGGTAAATTTTGTTTTTAGTTCTCATCTTTGTCCTCGTAAAAGGCCAACAAGTTCTGATTTGGATAAACTCATAAGAGAATGTTAGTACTTTTTTATAATTTTAATTTAGTTTGAAAATTTTAAAAAATATATATTTTAAGTTATTAATTATATATAATTCAAATAATATATAAAATTAATAAATAATGAATAAATTTAAATAAAAAATTTAAGAATTAAATTATATTGGAACGGCCCGTTCTGAAACCAGAACGGGACGTTCTGGTTTTATTTTTGTGTGTTACATTTTCATCTAGAACGGGCCGTTCCAGATCCAGATACAACACGTGAAGAGTGAATTGGAACAGCCCGTTCTGGTTTCAGAACGGGCCGTTCTGGTTGTGTTTCGAAGCCCCAACCCGTCAGTTTTCCATTTAATTTTAATATTTTTTACTTTATACAGAAAACGTCAACACTGTTGACGTTTTTTGTATATGAACAGTACCAAAACGTCACCCAGTCTGACGCTTTCAGTGCTTACATTTTCGTCCCATGTACAGTGTACTAAAAACGTCAAAGTGCTTGACGCTTTCACATTTTTCTCGCTCCTACGTGTCCAAAATAATTTATTTTGGTAAATAGTTTTTTTTTTATTTTTTTTTTAATTTTTTTTTAATTTTTATTTTATTCTGGTCAAAATGCCGAACTTCACTTTTTAATTAATACTCAAACTAACACATAAGATATATTAACTCTTACATTTTTTTAATAGATAATTCTTTGGTAATCTTTATTGTTTATACCCTTTTTTCTTTTAAATTCCTTTCCCTGTTTCAAATTATTCAAAAATGAAATTACTTTATTTTTTTAAAAAAATCAATACATATGACTCCCATCTAATTTGGATATCTACTTGTGCGCAAAGATTACAATGACATAAAAATCAATTTAATTCCTATGTAACAATTTTTTAAATAAAGATATTAAGTACTGAGACATCATTCCTTTAAGTTCAACTACATTTGAACTTTTTTAAGTATGATTTTGTGTTTGAGTAGTAATATATATATATATATA